AATTACCCTCCCAGAAGCACAGCACCCTAACTTGGAAGTGAGTGGGTGTGGCAAATGGCCTCTGTCTTTGGGAGAGGCTGCCACAGAGGCCTGCTGCAGCAGCCTGAAGAATTGTGGAGGCTCATTGGAAGAAGGGACCTTTGTAGTATCTCTTCCCCTGGAGCCCAGGAGCTGGTGCCAGGCTGTGAGGATAGAAGCTAAGAGTGAGACCTGGACATAGCTCCTCCTGTTCCAGCTGGGTGCTTCAGAACCCTGCTTCACTGCTGGTCTAAACCTGGAGGCTCAGTTGTAACACCTTAAAATGAGTCTCAGGGCACATTATAGGAGAACATCAAATACACTTAGGGATTGGAAAGCTCATGCCCATGCTACGGAACGGAGCTCTGCTCACGTTTCATGGTTGCACATTTTTCACTTTGCCTGAATTCTTCTGGAGCACATCTCAAGAACTACCAGTCCACAATACACATCTCCAGTTCTTCCACACAATCCTGAAGTAGGACAGCTTTCCTAAGCACAATCCCAACGCTGCAGCATACCTAAGGACACAGGATGGTTCTGTCTTCTAAGATCCCAGTCACCTGTTCTTCCTTCGTCCTGCTCCTTCTCCTCCTCTTCCTCCCTCCTGCTCCTCCACTCTTCCTCCCTCCTGCTCCTTCTCACTCTCCTGCCCTCCTCCTCACTGTCCACTTCCTGCCTCCTGTTCCTCCTCACTCTCCTCTACTGCCCCCTGCTCTTCCTCACTCTCCTCTACTGCCTTCCTGCTCCCCTTCACCCTCCTCTTCTGCCCCCCTGCTCCTCCTCACCCTCCTCTTCTGCCCCCTACTCCTCCTCTTGTTCCTTCTCATCCTCCTGTTCCTCCCTCCTGCTCCTTCCTCCTCCTCTTTTCTGCTCCCCTCCTCCTCCTCCTCCTCCTCCTCCTCCTCCTCCTCCTCCTCCTCCTCCTCCTCCTCCTCAACTTTCTCTTCCTTCTTCCCCTCCTCTCTCTGTCTTTTCGTGGTACTGGAGAATAAATCGGAACCGTTTTGTTTATTTTATTGTTAAAAACGTTTTCATAATTTTTAATTATGTGAACACGTGTGGTTTTGTGCACGTGAGTGCAGTTGCCCTCAGGAAGGCAGAGGTGTCAGATGCCCTGGAGCTGGAACTACAAATGGTTGTGAGTCACCACTGATGTGGGAGTTTGGAACTGAACCTGGGTCCTCTGTTCTTAACCACTAAGCCATCTCTCTCTCCGGCCCCAATTTTTTTTTTTATTTTTAAGAGGTTCTTTTGCTAAGTTGCTTAAGCAGCTTTCAGCACAATGCTCTCTTGCCATTCTGCTCTCAGCTGTCTCTCTCTTTCTTTTTCCCTCTCCTCTCTCTGAATTCCGTCTGTGGAAGCATGACCAGAGCCATTTAAGAAAGAGTTCAGCTTCAGGGTCTAGGAGCGCATAATGGTGAGGGTTGGGAGGAGCATAGGAGCAGACAGCTGAGAGAATACTTTCAACAAGTGAATGGAGCAAACCAGAAGTGTGGAGAACCTACAAACCCTCAGCTAATCCCTCTGGACCTGTGAAACCAGCTGGTAGGGGTGCAAACTGCCGCCTGCTGGGCCCTGCCTAGCCAAGTAAACTAAGTGGCTAAGTCCTGTGGGCTCTGAATTAGGGGGATACATTCCCTTCATTCCTCCCTCGAAACCCCTCATATCCCCATGAATGAGAGGGATACAGAAGCATCTATGCTGCTCCTCCACAGGTCCTGGGGGAAGGAGCTGGTACCCAGCCGTTGTTCTCAACCTGTGGGTTGTGAAACCCTTTGGGGTTCCATATCAGATATTTACACTATGAATCGTAACGGTAGCAAAATTACACTTGTGAAGTAGCAACAAAATAATTTTATGGGTGGGGATCACCACAACAGGAAGAACTGTATTAAAGGGCCACATTAGGGCTGTTTAGAACCCAGATTTAGAAGACCCCCCCAGTGCATTTTCTTCCTCCTCTGCCTGAGCTAAAATCCCTACTCAACCTTGGAGGCCTGTGAGAGCATGCAAAAGTATTTTAGGAGGCCACTCCAACTCTCTTCCTGTGCCCCTCCCCACCTCCACTGAAGTCAGGCAAATCCAGGACTCAAAAGATTGGATTCTGAGAAATTCCAGGCCTCAGGGAACCACAGTAATGAGGCAGTAGAGTGCTGCCTGCAGGTAAAGACTCTCTGGGTAAGGGGAGGGGTGTCCCTGAGGTCAGCTCCAGAGGGTGTCCGCTGCACCATTACCATTTAACTGGCCCTGCCCTTCCCAGCAGTTGGCACGCTACTGCAGGAACACTGGGGAGAGTGCACATGACCAGACCTTGCACACCAGGCAGCCTTGGGTCTAAGTGCTCAAGGAGCTGATGGTTAGCATTGGTTTGCAGCTTGCTGTGGGATGATCTAGTGATGATTTGGCATCAAGGAAAGCAGACCCTGAGTAGAGCTATAGAATCAGACCCAGCTCCTCACTCCATAGAAGCTTCCCCTCTACTGGTCGTTCAGCCTAAGGCTGTGGCAGGACTCAGTTTCTTTCAACATCATGTCCTCAACAGAGGAAGGATGCTCATTTGTCCATGAAGCCAGCTGGCACTCCCCTTTCTGAATATTCTCAGCAAACAGGAGTCCTGGGCTGCTGCCCTTGCATTCCCAGCCTGTGGTCTCCTGGAGGACAAACCTGTTTCCAAGGCATACAGCAAGGTTCTCTGAGCCCTTGAGGGAGACCCACACCCCAGTACCCTGGCAGCAATGGTAAATTCTTTCCAGCTTGAAATTCTCTGGTAGGGAGCATAGCCCTGTGCTTGAGACTCTAGCTAGCCATGCCAGCTCTCTGCAGTCTCGGAGCTTGCTGGGGACAATGGTGGGCATGAGGTGAATCTGCTTTGTGCACCTGGTTACAGTGGAGCACTGGTTGGAGTATGGGGTGCAACACAGGAACATTATTCCTCCTAGGATAAGGAGTATAGGAAGAACAAGAAATGCTTCAGAGCCTGCTAGGCTCAGCCAAGGTGAGGGCAAACTTCCTGCGTGGGGGGAGGGGGAGAGCAGCTAGTAGGGCAGAGGCCTTTCCATCATGCCATTCTAGGTGGCAACAAAGGGGAAGAATGGACAGCATACCCCTATGACATGGGCTCCTGGTCTTTGGCTTCTCCTGAAGACCAATATTCTTGGCAGCTTTGGTGTTTCTCAACTAACCTTCAAGACACTCTAGAAGGGGCTATCATCTCCATCTGTGACAGGGCCTGTAGGGATATAAGGCCTTCCCCACCCCTTGGTCTCCAAGTGGTATCTGAACTATGGTCCAGGTACTAGACTGTGCCATTTACTCTCCACGATGGCATGGTGCTCTGAGCTCCTTAGCCTGGCTCTGATGTGCATACCTGGTTCCTGTTGTCCTTGACCCCTCCCTTCCAGCACAGCAACCTCTCAAGAGTTAGGGACAACCAGGGGAGCCACTGAGTATGACCTGTTAGGGCTTTGAGCTGACCAAATTCTTCCCACAGGGCCTGACCAAACTCCTCACACATTGCATGAACTGGAACGAGGCAGTTTTGGCTTGTCAAATCCACTGGGACTGTAGAGGCCAGGTACAAGACCTGGAACAAGCACCTAGTAGCCACACCATGCCTCAGTCTTCTTGGCCATGTGGAATGTTTACACCTAGAACCCTGAGCCACAGAACCAGCTGGTGCAATCAGTGCCACTAGAGCAGTCAGTGACCACCAGCCTGATCATGTGAGGTGACTATTTTGAAAATACTCAAGAGCCTACCATGCAAGGCAGTGCTGGGCCAGCAGGGCTTCCTGGTCTTGGTGCTTTCAACAATGCCAACCTGAGCAAGCACCTAATGAGCAGCTTTCAAGGTCTGGGTCATGCTCTCTTCCCAGGTTCCTGGGTGGAAGCAGGTTGCAGGGAACTGTAATTGGCCACTTATCACATGTCTAGAACCCACTATGTGATGCTCACTGTCAGAGCATTGGTGGCCACAGAAGTGGCTGGCTGCTTAGACAAGAGGTGGAGGCTTTTATGTTTTCTGAATGCTGGGCTGGCCACACCCCAAGGGCAGGTACAGGTGAAGGCTGGCTAACTGCTACTCGGCACTGTCCCTGCTCTTGCAGGCAGAGTATCCGTGAAGCACCTGAGCTGACCGTCTGCAAAGAAACCCCACAGAAAGCAGAGAGGGTGGTCAGCACTACCCGTGTGTGGGCACATCTGGGCTCAGGGCAAGTCAATAGGGAAAGGGGCTTAGCCACCTTATGGGATGTGCCTGTTGGTACCCAGGAAGAATGTCATGTCCTTAGTGCGCAACTGAACTGGAAGTTCAGTGTCGGTTACAGGAGCTCTCGAAGATCAAAGAGACAAAAAGGAATGCACTACTTGTCAACGAGGCCCTGCTCCATCTTTGCTGGATAACAGGCTGTCAAGCTTCAGTTCTGACTGCAGGGCATGGCTGTGCTCCTGTGGGCACCTAGAGACAGGTATCTACAAGACACCTACAAGTACCTATAAAGTTTTCCTTCACTCTTGTTCAAACACTGACTGGTTGTTTGTTATTGTGTATACACATGGGTGTGTATGTGTTACTGTGTACATACACATGTGTGTGAGTGCAGTACATGGTAAGCATGCATTCAGAAGTCAGAGGGTAACTTTGTAGGTCATTCTCTCCTCCTTTCCGTGGATTCTGGGGATCAAACTCCATTCTGAGGCCTGCACAGTAAGTTCCTTTCCCACTGAGCCATCCCGCTGACCTCTGTGTACAATGAACTCCATTCACAGAATGAGGAAGACTTGTCTAGCAGGGGAGGGAAGGACCTGTTGGGGATAGGGGCCAGCTGGCTGGCAAGCAGGCCCTACCTACTTGCTTTCCCAGCTCTGGGAGGCTAACTGTCCCCAGGAGGAGGGGATCTGGCTTTCTCTTGTTCTTCTCAGTTCAGAGGAGGCTGCTTATTCACTTTATAAAAGATTGCTATGATAAATAAAAACAACAAACATTTTTGAAATTTTTATTTGGTGTTAACTCCACAAGAAAACAAAACAAAACAAAAAAAAATCAGTTACTCTGGTGTACGTGAAATCAGAACAATACAACCACGGGGAAAAAAAATCAGCCCAGGAATGGAGCTGATACTTCAGTGCTACGGATATGCAACGCGCTTCATACCACAGTGCGTTTCAGCGTTTGCCAACTTTTTTTTAATGCTTTTTTGTGATCATCCCTTCACGAAACTAAAACCACACTTTAATTCTGTGCCAAAGCCTCTGAGCTTTAGCCACTTAACTACAAAAAGAAACCAAATACAGACTCTAGTTATTCCTTCGTCTTTGATGACCCACCATATCCCCTTTGGGGGGCCTCTCCCCACAGCTGAGGAGGTAGGTGTCTTTGCACCTGGAGCCTTTTCCTGATGAACATTGGCTGTCCAGGTCACCCAAGCTCATGGCTGAGTATGAAATCCATTTGGTCATAGCAACAATTTCTAGGGTAATCGTGATGGCATTGATTTTAGGAATTTACAACTTCCAATCCTTTTTGCCTTTGATGATAGGTTATATTTCAGTGCAGATGTTAATCAAACTTTAGGAAGCTCCAGAAGAAAAAAAATACATAAAACTTATCTGATACCTGTAAATAAATAAGAGCAACATGAAACCTTCCACATGCACACACGCACACACAAGCCACTGTAAAGTGTCAGAAGATGTGCTGTATGAAAACAAACCCTAAGGTGGCAAGATGCCCCAGCCAGCAAGCCAGGCTCCCCTAATGAGGACGCACAGAACTACAGTGCCTGCACAGTCTCCATGGTGTTTCCTGTGTTCCTGAGAAACAGGCAACAAACTCAAGTACTACCAGCAAGGCCTGAGGGGCAGCTCCACTCTCAGCTAAGAAGCCACGTGCATGTCCAGTGCTACCCCACTTACTGGTGAGGCCAGTTCAACTACTTCAGACCTCTAAGCCACTGCTGATGTTCTGGACATGCTGAATTCATGTCACAGACAAGGTGTTTTAAAAACAAGTTGGTTAAAAGAGAAAAGTTTTGGATGTTTAGGTTTTGCACAATTGGCCCTACTAGCACCTTGGCAGTGCTGTGAGAGAGATCCACGGTGATCAGCACGCTTAGATGCAGCTGTGTGAGGCCTGCTGCCTCCCTGCTTCACCAAGTCACATGAGGCAATGATCAGAACAGCCATCACACAGGTATGTGGGAAATTCCTCTACCCACCCCAGCCCACCGCAAGCAGAACTTGCCCAGAACATCCTCTCAAACACAAAATGAGATACAAGCTATACTACATCACAGCCACAAGAGCAGCTAGCTGTAGCAGCCAAAGACTTCTTTGGGGTAAGAGGTAGCCTCACTGCATGTCAAATGTTTTTAAGTTCACTTGGAGACTTTAGTTCAGTGTAGTCACCAGATAATAATTTGCAAGTAAGGTCCTCAACTATGCACTGGAGAGGCAGCTCAGAGAACCCCACTGTGCTGGCTATGGACACACTGCAGCAGCAGAACTCACCATCCACTACCCCATGCCTCAAATCCTTGGCTTCTTCAGCTAGCAAGAAGGTCACAAGCCACAGTAACTTCCATGGTACTTAAGGGGAATCCTAAGAGAAAGCACAGTATTCTGTAAGTCTCTAAAGCACACCCTTGTGTTCCTACAGCAACGTCCATGATCTTCTGAGTGAGCCTGCAGATGAGTCACCATGCTTCCCTCCTTCTTCAGCAAGGCCCTGACCCACTGCAGGGGAGGACTGATGTCCTGGCTCAGAGAACAGACCTAGAGTCTCTGGACGGTGGCGGCTGTCGCCACAGTACTGACAAGGTGATGGCGACACAGCCGCCAGAGGGAGGCCTGCAGCTGCGATGCAGAAGCGGGACGCACTAGGACAAGCACATGCACACCCATTCCTCATGGACAGCACAGTCTAGTCTACTTCAGAGAGCAAGAACTTAACAGCTTGGAAACAAATCTTCAACAGGACAGCCGTCCTCAACGCTAAAATAAGCAAGAAGAGAAAGGTAATCACTGATGTGGATCAGTTAATTGAAGAAGAAACCTAAGTTGCTGTTTTAGACTAACAGGCCTCACAGAAGGCAATTTCCCATCACAGCATTTTCAGTGACTGGTACTACTCTGCAGGGTCAGAGATGTGTTCGGGAGAAGAGCTCCTCTTGGCTGGGGCCCACCCACTCTCCGCCGGCTTCGGAGCCTGTGTCACCCGTGTCGCCCGTGTCAGAGCTGGTGCTGGAACACAGCTTCCTGTGGAGGCCATTTGGTTTTGTCTCAGAACCTCTCTCTCCTGTGCATCTTGCTTCATAAACAGAAGACACCTACAATTCAAGAAACAATTTTCAATACATCAAAAATCACAACCCCTCATGCTTATTCTATTCATAGACAGAGATGAAATAGCAATCACTGATATCTCCTATAGAAAGCTACAAGGATGTAAAGTCACACTGTTTCAGAGAGAACCTCTTCTTTGCCCTTGAAGGGCACAATCCTAATTCTGCACATCTAGTCACAAGAATCTATGTGGACACAATAGGGTAGGACAAAGGGACTCCTTAACTCTCAGCAAGTCTTTGAGCACCTGGTTCAGGGTAGCCCAAAGCTTCACACAGGCTCCCATGGGTAGACAGACATGGTCATGCACAGGGGCTCACAGTTCCAGCAGACAAACAAACCAAAGAATAAAGCTTCAGACTGTAGACATGAGGATACTGGTTAATGGGAATTCTGGACAGGGGCAAAGCATTCCAGAAGGTGGCACTCCTGAGCAAATGTGGGTGCTCTGCACAGCAGTGCCAGTATCACCAGGTGTGGTGGCATAGAGCATCTTCTTGTTGTGTTTATAGGAAGGCTGGCACCTGGAGCCCCAAAGACACTCAATGGCAATGGTAAACCCTTTCACCAGTTAGAGCAACTAACAATATTTCCCAGTGCATCACAGTATCCACCACTAGCATCACCCCATCACAGTCCCTGATTTTGAGCTCAAGGTGGAAACACAGAAAAGCTATGTGAGAGCAAAGCACACGAGGCTTCCAGGCATGGAGAGAGTCTGAATCTCTTCCAAGTTCACAGCATAGTAGCATGGGTCCCTCAGCCAGTCATCGGGGTACGCAGCCCTATGCTCCATCTCCAGATACCTCCACTTTATACACTGCAAATGGATGAGTATGACAAGAATGCTTAGTGCACAGGGGTGTTTTTAGGTCACTGTCTTGCATAATGTCGATAATTGTCAAGGACAAGCTAAAGCAAGGACAAGAAAGGCTGTGGCTGCTGTTTAGGAGTAAAGAAATGGATGGAAAGTGGAAGTGAGATAGACTGACAAGCTGGCAGACACACTGTGGGCAGAGGTGAGAGGAAGGGACAGGTGAAGAGGAGACAGCCGGAGGGTGGAAGGCTATGGGGAGGCCTTATACGTGGACTTGGACATGTTAACACAAACTGGTAAGCCAGTGAGACTAGCACTATATGGTGCTTTGGAAAATTCTTACACAGCTTGAGCTAACACTGATAATTCAGAGAAGAAAATAGGTTTCCTTCAATTCACTGGTCTTAACTTGCCTAAATGGAAGGCTTGAGACTGAGCTAAAAGTAGGTCAAGGTCTTGAATGTGCCTTCACGGTGCTCACAGGCATGTTGCAGAGACAGAAGTGTTTGGGATGGTAGGACTCTCAGAGAGTGCACAGGAGCACAGAAAGGGCAGGGTCTGTCCCACACAGGTTGGAAAAGTACACTGGAAGGAAGGAAGATGCTGTCCCAGGACTAAACAAGAAGCAGGCTTAGTGCAGCATTTTAAACCTCCTGTGCCAGCAGTGTAGTGCCAGCTAGGGAGACATTAGGGGTTGCTCATGAAGGTCTGCCAAATGGTTGGGATTTGGGGATAGGGTGAAGCAGATCCAAAGAAAGGGCCAAGAGGAGAAAGGCAACACCCAGGATCTGGGGACACGGGCCGGGGGTGGGTCACAAGACCCTCAAGTTTGTGACTAGAATGGTAGGGAGGAGGACAGTCCACTTACCCTATTAAAATCTAACAGACGCTCTTCACGACTGGGTGTCTCTTTAGCATCTGGATATTCTTCTATACCATTCTCTCCCTTGGCATTTGTATAACATTCTTAATCATTTTGAATGGAGAAGGGAAAAGAGGGAAAGGGGGAAATTCAATTAAGACAGTTGAAACACACACCCTTGTTTCACCTCACCGAAAAGCTAGGCCCGCCCTCTGGAGGTTTATGTTGTCATTGAAAGCACAGCTGGTCTGGAGTGTATGAGAAAACACAACATTAACTGAAAACTTCAGCCACAAGTATGTAATGAATAATAAAAACCAGGCCAGCATAAGCATATTCTACTATAAAACACTATCTCAACAATTCAACAAATATATACACAGATCTATGATGTAATGGTCCTGGGACACAAGGATAAAGACCAGTGAGACCCATGCTCTCAAGAATGTGTGTCAAGTGGAAGGAGACGGTCAATGCACCACAGATATGCTCATGGAACAGGAGCAGGGGTTCCAGACAGGCAGCCCAATGAGAAAGCAAAGCAGGTCACCAGCTGGCCTGTTCTGACTCAACACCATGCCCACCAGTCTGTAATACCTGTGCACATGGAGGCTCATGGTCCAGTTAGCCAAGGCTCACAGAATGAGAAGGCAATGTAGACTGGAGTTGGAGGACTCTAATCCAGCAGCAGCTTCACCTGTGTTTCATCTATGCACTATATTATTTAGCCACCTAAGGAACTTGGAGAAACCTAGGCCTTAGAAGACTGACCATCAGTCCTTCTGAGAAGCTTCCAGCTGATTCCTGAGCACAGCCCCTGTGCTGAACCTAGTCTTAGTTTAGCCTAGCCTCTTGTCCACTGACCCATTAAGAAGATAGCTGTGATAGAATTGGAGAAGGATCGAGACTCCAACCAAGCTAGTTCAGACCTGGCTCTGACAAGAGCTCAGAAATGCTGATCCCTTAGCATCCCTGCTCGATGGAGTTATACCACACCACAGTTGTCAACAGACATCATGGCTCCTGTGTGCCAGAGTCACAGAAGACAAGGCCAGCCTTAATGAGTGCTAAATACTCCTGGGCACCAAGTATAGACTTTGCTTGCCATGTGGATATTCTTCATAACCTATCAGTCCTGGGCATTACTTGAATAATCCTGGCTTGGAATGACAAAGCCCATAGTAGATGCCAGGCTTTGCTTCTTATTTGTGACATGACGCTCCAAGCCACATACCCAACCTCTTTAAAACAGAAGCAACACCATCATCTTCAAGGAGGTGCTATGTGAGAAGTGCACAGGTATAGCAACATCTTCTATAGCCACCAACCTGGAGCACGGGTTCTGGGCGGCTGGGAGGCCACTGAGCTCTGGTGGAGGGGCCTCATTTCATCCCATTCATTCCATACACACACAGCGGGGCCAGAAGAGAGACTGTGGAAGGGAAGGTGGCTCTTCTCTGCTTCAGAAATGCTATATCCATCTTCATACCTCCATGCAGGGGTTTGGCTACAAATCATAATGAGCTCATCCCACATGTCTTGTTAATGCTCCTAGTGACAGCTACAGTTTGTTGAGCAATCACTGTATGTGGGTTCCAGTTACAGACACCTTGCCTGCTGAAGAGGCATCTTTATTCCTTACAGTCATCCCAATAGGGATGGCTTCCTTTTACAAATACAGTCAACAGAGCATAGAGAAGCTCAGCAGTTATGCAGAGAGGCACTCAGTTCTGGCTCAGCCTTGCTCCCCGACCACAGTCTATGCTGCTCCCAAAAGGGCTCACTCCACACAGCCTGAATAATGCATGCCAATAGCAACTGAGCCTCCAAAGCACAACACAGCCCAAGGGCAAGCCCTGGAGAACACTACCATGCTCTCTGTAGTCTCTACCCTAGCCAGCCTTGTCCCTACCACACGCCTGTACTGTGCTACCTATGCTCTGCCCCACACCACTCCTCTAATCCCAGCTGCTGTGCTGGTCTGTACCCTACCTCCAGCCCCACTGAGAAGACACACATCCAGGACAGGCAGCCACCATGTCTATACATCCCCAGAGCAGCACTGTGATCAGATATATATATATATATATATATATATATATATAGATAGATAGATAGATAGATAGATAGATAGATAGATAGATAGATAGATAGATATAGATATAGATATAGATATATAGATATATATAGATATATATAGAGATATATAGAGATATATAGAGATATATATAGATATAGATATAGATATAGATAGATATAGATATAGATATAGATATAGATATAGATATAGATATAGATAGAGATAGAGATAGAGATAGAGATAGAGATAGATATAGATATAGATATAGATATAGATATAGATATAGATATAGATATAGATATAGATATAGATATAGATAGATACAGATATAGATATACACAGAAGTGCCTAGGGCAGGGTTCTCAGCAGGACACACCCTACCTCCTCACCAGACTCATCAAGGAGATAGTCTTTCGACCTTGGGATGCCAGTGTCCAGAGTAGCACATGTTGATTACTAACTATTTTTAATACTAGAAGCTTCAGGAATGTCTAGTCCTTTCGAGGGAGTGAGTAGCTAGTTATCCTCTTGCATAACCTCCATGTGAGGCAACAGAAAGAATACTTCATACTGTCACTGAGAGGGAACTTCACAGGTATTAAACTCACAGCTGTCATTCAGAAGACTGGCTACCATTCCTTCTCCACTAAGCTTCCCTATACAGTATTTTACATATACGTACAAAAGCATGACATCCATTCACTGGCACCTGCCAATAAAGTGGATATCCAAGATACAGAGCTGAGAGTTGGAACTGGGCTCCTACTACTGTGTGACAAAGTGAACCAAACTGACACAGTGCTTCTAAAAATCATCTCCAAGAAAGTAGCTTCTTTGCTACATGGTGATATACCTATTCCTCTTCTTATTCTTTATGGAGAAGAGCTTCTTAGGCACAGCTATGGGGATTTCTGACTTGTACTGTTAGCTGTACCTGTGTCTTAAACTCATCCAGCTCACAGACAGATCACTAGGAGGTTGGGTCTATACTCCTATGGCCCTGGCATCTTCCTTGGCAAAGCAGAACCACCCTTTTCTCTAGCTCAGTGGTTCTCAGCCTTCCCAATGCTGCCACCCTTTAATACGGTTCCTCATATTGTGGTGACCCCAAACATAAAATGATTTCATTGTACTTCCTAGCTCACAGACTGAGAATTACTGCTCTAGAGCCTCACTCCCTCTTGCTGCTCACACGCAGTTTCAGGGCAGGTGTAACCACTACAAAATCTCCCCATCCTGTTCCCATTACCTAACTCAGCAGCTAAAATTTTGTCTCTGTTGTTGCTACAAGTCTTCCAGCACACACTGACCCAACCCTGCAAACAAGTCCTTCCCACAGACACCCCCCTCAATGCACACCAAACTGGAGCCAGAAGCCAGGTTCTCATACCTGTAGGCTCCTTCCCATCAGCCTTTCTGACTCATCTTTAATGGGCCAGCCAAAGGTCCATACCATTTATGCTTCTAATGAATTTCTAAACCCTTCCACCAGGCTATAGTTAGGTTTAAGAGCAGGGTCCAGTTTGCAGTCACCTAGGTGACCCTAGGGTCTAACACAGCGCTGGCCACAGGAATGTTTTTGGCGTTTCCTGGACTGTGTCCACATCCAAAGAACCTGCTGCTCTTAGAGAATTAGACATCTAAACAAAATAAAGATGCCCAGGCTCCTTACCTTCACACTCTGTTGTGGGGAAGAGGGGAGAGTACAAAGCTTTTTCCCACCAGCTCTGCTTTTCTTGATTTCTTGTTATTTCTTGCACATCAGTGTTCAGTACAGGAAACTGTTTAGATGAAGTCAAACACAGAGCATGTTTATAAACCTTCAGGACAAACAGACAATTTTAAGAATTACTGAAACACTACATACCTAGTGCCTTTAGGTTGGTGAGTTTAAAAACAAATCTATTTAAAGTTTTTTATTGTTCAGGATAAGGCAAAGGAAAAAGGCCTTACTCTTAAAAAAATGGAAATGTTCTTAAGAAGTACTTCAACTCCAAATGGAACAAAAATCTCTTACAAGGCCTAAAACAGCAGACAAGAAATTCTCCTAGACTACTGAAGTGCAACAGGTGACCTCAGGCTTAAGTCTGAGGTGCAGTGGAGAGACAGGTTCCACCCTTCCAAGTAGAATGTTTAAGGCTGCTCAGACCCTGCTCTTCCTCCTAGACAGTGAGAACAGGTTACCAGAAGCTGTCACTGGTGATCAACAAGGTCCTTGGAGTGGTGGTCATGAACCTCACAGGCAACTTTTGTTGACAAATGTATCCTGGTATGCTGGTGGTGGCCTCCTCCTTCACTGGGCCTGAAACGCCTGCCACCAGCTCCCCAGGGTAAAGCCTGGGCTCTCCATCTCTGTACTTCCTGAGTCCTTATGCTGTGCTCTTGCCAGAAAGCCTGTCAACTGTGTACAATTCCATGACACCATTTGTTCAAGTTCAAAATCCAAACTGTTTCAAGAGCAAACAACCATTTATTTTCTAAAGGGGATTTGTTGTGGTTTGAACTATAAATTATTTTATGGGTCTAAAACTCCATTATCTGTAAGTTTTTAAGAATTACATGGGGATATATTGGGAATTAAATGGGATATATATTTTAAACCTTTATTTTTATTTAATATGTCTTTTCAGGAATAGTTCCAGATTTAGAACTGAGAGAAAATTGTTCTGTCTGCCCAGAGTAGTCAATTAACCTTTCTTATCCTGTATGGTCTACTGTAACAACACAAGTACTTCCCAAGGGCCTCTGAAGGCTGAGCCAAATGCAAATGAAGCCAGCGATGTACAAGGTCTGCAGTAAAAGTGGGTACCAGGACCTGATACCAATTTGCAACATGTGAAGGCCTTCTGTACTCTGGGATATGAGCTGGTACTACTTAGGGCAGCAAGGGAGAGGGGTCAGAGATATCTCTATTACCACATATTACTTCTGAAGAGACAGGAGGCAGCAGGTTGCTGAGTTCTTATCTGTGCTACTTAGTATTTTCTAATCCCCTTGTGAAATGAAAGAGACACAGAGTCAATCAAGGACAGGTGTGCTGAGGGAAACAGGTTTGACCAGTCAAAACACCACCCGGGAGCCAGGTACACACCAGATGTGGCCAGATGGGAGAGCCCTGGAAGCTTAAGGACAAGACTGTTACTGGCATCTCTAGGCACAGCCCTTTGTCTACAAACTACAGGGTCTGACTCCCAGGATGCCTCTGATTTCAGAGCACATCAAGTCCACTCTTCACCCTGCTGTGGCTCTTGCCTGAGTCTGCATTATTTGAGGAGTCTTTTCCGAGTCCCCCGTTTGGGTGCCAATTTCTACAGCTAAGACTTACTATCTTCTCCTTCATATTACAGCAACCATCCATATTCTACAAGCACGCACCATTTCATGACACCTCTCCACTCAGTTATTCCTAGCTTTTGGGGAGCACAGCAAACTCCACAACAGTTCACTCATCTGAGGCTATTCAATGTTTTAACTCAATGAATATAAAGAATACTGAGAAGGAGAGGCAGGAGGATCACAAGCTCAATGTTACCCCTTAGTTACACAGTGAGTTCAAGGCCAGCCTGAGATGGAGCCAGGGGATGGGACACAACAGAAGAACAGAAAGAACTGGGAAAAGGCAGAACAGAGCTGTACCACCCACAGAAGCTGCTCCTACTCAGGTACATACTCAAAGGGAGCTCCGGGAGAAAGCCTGCCTGGCTCCTTAACAGAGCAAGCTGCTTCCAGCACTTTCCATTCACCCAGTCTCTCATCCAGTGCTCTGCCTTTCTTCAAATGATGCTTATATCCTCACCCAGAATTAACCTAGCATGTTTGCTGTTAGCCCCAAGCCTGCAGGAAAACTCCACACAGTCTCATAGCTGGTGATTCCAGCACCTGCAACAGCACTGGGTAGAGGACACTCCATACATGCAATGACCAGGACAATGAAAAGGGAGGGGAAGGCACAGACTACATCCAAAAAGACTGACCACAGATGTTTTTAGCAATTTTTGGAAGTTCTTCAGAAGCTGGCAGTCAAGGGATAAAGACTCCATAGTTCACCTTCCCACTAAATAGTCTACTTCTGCTGAAAAGGAAGGTGCTGAGGTTTCCTTTCATTGGGGTCCAGTGCCCCTTTCCTACCAGTCTTTCTTCATTAGGTCATTCTTCATCATTGGGTCACAAATGGCAGGGAAAGTGTTCTGTAGACCTCTCTTACTGTAGATAAGAGGCACAGAGCCAGGAGAGTGCTGTCTGATCCTCACTGTGGGACAGGGTCAGTCTCTTTTTGAACATTCCTAGCTGTCAGGTGAGGAAATCAGTCTCTGTGGCTGTCTGGTAGGACAATACTGACAAACCGGTACAGAAGGATGTGTGCCACAAGCCAGAATGATCTTTGCTGCCACTCCAACCTCCAGAGTTGCTGACCTTCACAGTGTAATACTCCTGGGATAAAATGAGCTTATCTCTTGAACAGGACTGTAAAGTCCTTAAAGATAGGGACTAAGAATCTGGCTTTCTAGATTCAAACAGCTTGGCATTAGCAGGCAATTAAAAGCCCAAGAGAAGAGGACACCCATGCCATTATTTCCATGCAAAAGAGACATATGGGGTGTGCTCTCTGTGCTAGTTTTTGCCTTTAGCTATAACTGGATGAGCTGTTTTCAGTACCCAACCAACACACCTCTGCAGCTCAGGTTCTCTACCTGCCTTCTCCTCGAATGGCCTGCCTCCTTCTGCCCCTATGTGTCCAGGTGTGTTCAATACACCTGCAGTGTCCACACCCTGGGATTAGACTGGTGAGGTTCCCACAGGCTCCAGGGCTTATTTGAACTGCTCCACCTATCACATCACCCACAATGACACTGGCCCTCATGTCCTAAAAGATAAGGAACCTGTCAAGTAAACTGTGATGAAACCTTACAGGGAATAGTATATGAGAAATAAAAGGCAAGGGTGATTACAATAAGGGCCATTTCAGGTAAAAGGGAAATATACTATGTAGAGAATACTTTTAGAGGGGCTTACCACACCTAGTACTAGCGAGGGCTAGTGGGAGTAGCCATCACTGTGAGTATGCCCTCCTGTAACTTTATATAAACAGCCCATTTTAGATGAGATATGAGATTCACAAACTCGGCTTCTTGCCTAGACTGAACCTCTTATAGACAAGGAAGACACCCCATGCATTAAGGTGACAGGCACATAACAGGCATCCAAACGTCTGCTCAATTTGACTCAACTTTTAAGTAAACCCTATTCCTTCCAAGGTCCTAAATGCTAATTCTAAGGAAAATCCTCTTTTCATTCTCTTGCGCTGAACCAGAAGGCCTTTGCCTAAGTGGAGCCAGTCTTAGGAACTCCTCATAACTGTCCTGGGAATTACAATGGGTAGACAGACACAGGTCCTAGCCTCAGTCTCATCCCAAACTGTTCCTTCAAGCCACTCTCAACTCTGTTCCTCAAGCCAGCCTATGAAGTGAGCTCCAACCTGCAGTGATACTGACAACATGATAGCACCCATACTCTCAAGATGTCCCCACAAGTCTGCAGCAAGCTAGACCTCTCAAAAAAAAAAAAAAAAATCCCAAATCTGAGAACACATAAATACATCAACATACTAGAAAGCGAAGGAATATGGTAGTAGTAGGTAGAATCTTGCTTCTTTCCTCATTTTCTTTCTTCCCAATCTGGAACCAGGTGAAATACAAAGTACATAAAGGAACATTTAAGGAGGAAAATGGGGGCAACACAACAACACATAAAGGCTAACAACATTGCTGGGTTTTCCTTAACAGTTCAGATTTCATGGATTCAACGGGGTTAAACTTGGCCTGTTATAGACCAAGGAGCATGCCAACTAGAGCAGCACTCCTCAAGTTCCCAAGGCTTTTGCAACCATCCAAAGGCAAGCAGTCGTACTTCTAGGCGCTCTGCCTCCAGTGAGTCAGTGCACAATGCCCAGCTATAGAAGCCAATAGCCACATACCACCCTCCTCCCCAAAAGAAAAAAGCAAAAGGCAAAAAAATCATGAGACAGAAAATGCAATTACAAAAAGAGGCTGAGAGTGCAGGTAAATTAAGAAAAGGGAGAATTAATTCTGATATGAAGTGGGATGAGGACTGAACAGGATTTAGGGAGGTATCGTGAAGGAGGTAGATCTGAGGGCCTCACAGAATGGGTGGGAGCCAGTAAGCAGGGCAGATGAGAGGAAGGACAACACATATCCATCTGCATCAGGTGGTTATGACTTGAGACTGTCTCCAACACTGTTTAACAACCTGCTTCTGGAAAAAAGCCAGGCACTGCTATGTCAACTAATCATCAAATACAGTGGGCAGGCAGCTCTACTTTTTTCTATGGAACAGCTTATTGCTGTGTCCGTTCTGGTACCGTTCAGTCAATTTCACTTCAAGGGACTTCCTAGAAAGACACTCAAGGGAAATGATGACTCCATTAACAAAACTGCTGACACTAACATCACCTAGCAGTTCCACACAAAACTCCCCACCCAGAGCCCCTTCTCACTGAGCACCAAGAGGACATTTCCTTTCACTTGGTCCCTTCATACATGAACCACAACACACTTCAGAGAACGGTGTCCAGATTTAAAACATTTTACATGGGATACACAACTATAATAAAACTGATCACCATCCTCCGCTCACAGCGACCTTCTGGCCCCAACTTTGAAAGATAAATGTTTACACACAGGCTTATGCTTTATTCACACTGCACGCATGTTACATAAGACTTCACACCCCTCGAGTTAGTGTGTCTTTTTCCATGCAGTCAATTATCTACTGCTAATCTATAAATAGCAAATCCATTTTAAGTCCTTAAATGTAAACTAAGAACTTTAAGTTCTAAAATTTTTTAATTAATTTCCCAGTAATTCAGCCCCACTTTTCTTGTCTGATAAGGCTGCCTTTTGTTAGTGTCTGATTGAATCCCTTATTCAATACTGATACATACCTCTTCCAGTTGTCCTGAAGAAACTGGATTATCTTCACAAGCAGGGAACTGACAACCTGCTTTGCAACTGCAAAAATCATTCATTTCCTCTTCACATTGTGTCATTATCTTACAGTTTGCTGCTGAGCTTTCTAAATTTATTTCCAGAGATTCATTAAAGTTACATTCTAAACACTGACTCTGTTTTCCTACTGGCAGAATCCCAGCTGCCTCCTCCTGGGAATCCAGTGATGTCTGAGCACTTTTCTCCATTCCAGATTTTTTTAACCTGGGCAGGAACTTCCCAGACTCCAGCTCTAACTTTCCATAGTAGTGACCTTCTTTCTCTGCATCTTCTTCTAAAGGCTTGAGATCTGCTTGTGGGTCTTCAAATACATCAACTTGAGAAGGAATGGGAATATTTGCTTCATCTTTTTCAGATTCGAATTCTGACTCACTTCCTCCTCCAGGGGATAGCTCAGATGCAGAAATTGGGCGAAAGTGAGTCCGGGGAGAGATTCGAATAGCCCTGTACTGTGTCCTGTCGACACCACATATTCTGGGGTGAAAAACCTCACTGTCTGAATCAGAGCAGAGGATTGATTTCGGCTTGAAACTGGGGCTAAAAGATGCAATTCCTTCTGGTTCAAATGAGCACTCTACGTGGAGAACTTGTGAGAAGGGGTTGCTTAGGTCAAAGGAAGAGAATGAGTATTCAAGCCCAGGATCTTCAACTTGAAAGTTACTGCAGGCTCCTAGCAAGTCTTCATGGAAGATAAAAGAAAACCCCTTGTTTAATCCATTTTCCCCGCTCTTCGGCATGTCATTCTGTTCAAATGACACGAAGGGCTTCCAGAGCTGCCTGTGACCAGGAGCAAAGCTGTTACCAGGGGTCATAAAGACATCTGTACCAGCGATCGTCACCACATCAGAGGCTGCACACTGTAGCAAGCTCCCTTTTGTGTGACCAGGTGGTACAACTGCCCACTCCCCATCACTGTTGAATGTTTTGAGCTCTCCATAAACTCCTCCAAGAATGAATGTGTTCTCTTTATCTTGGGCCACATCCCAAGGTTTAGAAGGTGTAGTATAATCACCACCATCTACCTTGGACAGCTCCCTAGAAACAAAAGCTCTTTTCTCCACGTTCTCCTTTTGTCCCTCCCAGAGATGATACTCTGATCTCTGCACAGCCCTACTAGGCTCTTGAAGGGCTTCCATCTTAGCCTCAGTGTCCAAACAGCAGCAGTAGTTATTTACATCTGTGGAAAACAACTCCTCCCCAGTTCTCTCTGTTTCTACTGCAGCCACAGAACTCCTATCTACCATCTTTGTCCAAATGTCTTTAATAACCCCTGAGCTGTAGCCATCTCCATGTGGACTGCTTTCACTACATGCTTGTGTAGTTTCAAAGTTCTTGCTTTCTGCCTTTTGTTCTAGCTGAATACCACATACAGATTCTAGCTTAGATCTTTTTTTGAAAACTAATGTAGGAATTTCTCCTAAAGTTCTACTGTTTTGCTGGCGAGTTTCATCCTGCAAAAAATCTAGAAGTTCTTCATCTACAAAATCTGACGAGACTCTGGGAACCACATAATTAATATCGTCCGCAGTAAACTGTGTTGACTCTTCAAACTGAATGTTTAGCGTCTCGTTGTCCGAGCGTGCTTCTTCTGAATGGGACCACGGACTACAAGTTCTTGTTGAAAGATTAGAACAGTGTTCATTTTCTTCAAAGGCACTATTTTTGGTCCATATTAGCAATCTAGACTGTGTTTTCCCCAGCATATTAGTACTAGAATCTGTATGTTCACTTCCCAAGTTGAGGGTTTCAAAAGAAAACGGTAAAACAGAATTACTGCATTGCACTTCAAATACTGAAAAACAAGAGTTTATACCAGATCCTTCATTAATATTGGAAAAGGGTTCTTGATTGCCAGCAAGCATGTGTGAACTGAGTATCGTGCTGTCCAAGATAGGAGAGAGTCTAACTGGAGAGTCTCCTCCAAAACTCTCTCCATCAGCATCACCAGAACTAGATGAACAACACTCCCAAAACTGAGCCAGATTGCCAAGGTCTTGCAAGAAGAAGCCCTCAGCACCCACAGAGCTGGTAGAATCTGTCCATATTGCACGTTCCCCTTGCAACTCCATACCATCTAACACTATGCAACATTCTGCCTCAAAATCTGTATTCTCCTTGCTTTTTTGTCGAATCATATTCAAAATCCGACTTTCTCCTTGCATTGTTTCTGAGGCACCAGGATCCAACATGGATTGATCAATATCCACTTCATAGAAGTGTGTTAGTTCTGATAGATGAATATCATCCAGATATTTATTGTCCTCTGGTAGAGAACATAATGAGGTCCCAGCGAGGTCAATATCCTCGTTTATAACTGCAGGCATTTCTACAAAATGACCATCAATGAAAGTACCTGCTGCGAGGTATGTTCTATGGATATTACTGTTGTTGATACACAGACCACGCACAGAGTCAGACAAGTCTTCCACGGCCTCTGCTGTCAGAGCACTTGTATCTTCCCTGTTTCGGTATGTGGTTTCTAGTTTGCTTTTTCTACTCAAAGGAACAAAATACTCAGCAATGGGCTCTGTGTACCACAGTGGCTCTTCCTTGTACTCTTTGTTGTTTCTGCTCTCCACATACAGGTCTTTCACTGCAGTGTTCCCAGAGTCACTCCTTCCTGTCTCCTTTGCTGGTCTTTTACCCCGCTTGCACAGCTGCCTGATGGACCCATTGCTGCTGCTGCTGCTGCTGCTGCTGCTGCTGCTGCCTCCGCTGCCTGCATGGACTCCTCTCTCTGACTTCCCACAATGCTTCAGGGACTGCCTGCTTTGCCCATTCCGCCCCTTTTTGTTTCGAATTTCTCGTGCCTTGTGTCTGACCTTAACATACTTCATGGATGCTTTTAATTCTCCCTGATTACCACTTGAACTTGAGCCTGCTTCACTAGAGCCGGATGACCATGAGCGAGGGCGAATCTTCCCTTCAGGTTTGTGTCGGATCTGCTTTTTGTACAAGGCAGGCTTTTCTTCAATGGTGCTGTTGCTCAACTTGTTCTCCTCGTGTCTGCTCCTGCTTTGGGCTTTCTCATGCTTGGGGATTGAGGCGGCACTGCTTCTTTCTCTGATGGCTTCACTCTCACTATTGCAGTCCTTTGGAGAAGATGTATCTGTGCTTGCTGGTGGGGCTGTGGATGATGAAGAGGAGCTAGAGTAAGAACAGGGTTTGGACTTGTTCCACACGGTCATGATCTCTTGCAGGCAAACAGGTTTCTCAGAAAGTGGTGGAAATGCTTCATAGTACCTGCAAAACAGAGGAAGAGTTCAAAAGCAAGCCACATTTTACAGTCACCACCTACACAAAGACAGCGACGCCAACCTGAGAGGCAGCACTTCAGCTCGCTGGTGTCAGCATTCACACCATTAAGAAAGCGATTAATTTGAAAATGAATTACCAAACAGTAAACTGTGCTGTGCATTAAAATTAGACCCACACACCAAGCACTTCAGCACTGCTTGGACTGTGAGAGGCACTATGCAAATACTATGAAAATACGTAAGATTTGTCATCAAGCTTCAACTTTACCTAGGAAGAAATGACAAAAACAATGTAACAGGAAGAATGTACTGGGCTAATAGGAAATGTCTGAACTTGAATCTCATCATCTTGGTCACATACAATGCTTGTGACATTAAGCTTACTATTTGATATTTTCGCCCTTTTCCTCCCTCTAAAACAGTGAGCACATAAGAACCTCCCAGTTGTGAACAGTGGGAATGAGTGGTCCTGAAGGCTGCTCAGCGGCTGACTCAGGAACACAGCTCTGACCATCTCCCCAAGTCTGAGCCTTCTCTGTGCTTACTTTCTAGGTACCCTTAGGCCGTTCCATAACCTTGCAGTGGCTCCAAGCAGGAGTAAGAAGAGTCCACCTCACAAGCAGGAGTAAAGGACAAAAAATGAGTCAGGCCATCACCCATTCCATGTCCTCGTTCCTGCTTTGTTATCAGGGCAACAGCATGGAGCTTAGCATTTATGCAGGTGCTCAGGAATGGGAGGGGGTAGGGATCATTATATTCAATTGGTCCTAAGTGAGGATGCTGGTGCAATCAGAGACAGGGATCACAGTTGGTGTAGTGAACACTGTGAGGGGTGAGACCTACACACATGCTATGCTCCAGGATGGAAGCCTGATTGGACCATAATCCCCTAAACATGCTTAGAAGACCAGAGAAAGAGACTTGCTAGAAAAAAAAATAGCAATTTGAGAGCAGAATAGAACTCCAAAGGATATCTAAAGCCATACTGCCTCTTGAGGGTATGCTTGTCCAGACACAACATTAAGGCCACACACTAAGAGGCAAAGGCTATTTTCCAAAGGTGTTGAATGTGTCTATCTATATTAAGGCTGTAGAGTACAAATTATTAAAAGCTTTGTAGATAATTTTCTCTTTAAAAATTAATTTTATTTGTGTGTGTGTGTGTGTGTGTGTGTGTGTGTGTGCACGAGATTAGCCAAGAAGGCCAGAAGAAATGAATTCCCTGGAGCTGGAGTGATAAGTGGTTATGAGCCACTTGACACGGGTGCTAGAAACTGAACTCAGGTTCCCTGGAAGAGTAGCAAGTTCTCTTAACTGCTGAATCATCTCTCTAATCCCATACATAATTTTCAACATCCTAGAAGTCCTATTAGAAGTCTAAGAAGAAAGAGATGAAATTAATTCTAATAACTTATTAGAATTATATTATCACTTCCACATGTAATTAATATTAAACTGATCAATGTGCTGTTTTGTACTTTTTAACTCTGTTCCTAATCTCCGAGAATGTCACTTACAATATAACCAAATGAATGCAATTTTTTTCTTGATTAGAGATTCAGAAGATTAAAATAAAATGTATAGCAAGGAAGTCTGTTTATAGTAGAGATGATTTTAATATTAATCACTCACAACAGATGAACCAAAGACACAGGGAACAAGTCTGGTCAGGTCCTCTGAGGGGTACTGTAAATCAGTTCTCACATCTGTGTACAGGATGATCATGGCCTCTCACAGCTGTCTCACAGACTCTGTGTCAGCTCCAAACATGCTGCAAGTGCTGTAGTAAACAGCAGCCGTCCTGCTTCCTTCACATCACACACTGACTGCAGACACACTAGGACAATTAGACCCTTCCACTCGCTTTTACACTCTCACTACGAATGAAGCACCCAAGTATTCATGTGTTTTCTGAACTAAGAAACCATACAGATGATAGAAATGGAAACCATGTGGCTGGTGGTAACGAGACTGATTTTAACAATAATTACTTCAGACTGAGTATAATTTTACATACATTTCCACTTGATCCTTTGCTGTAGGGGACAATTCTGCCTCTGGAGAAGGAGAACCCTCTAACTTTTTGTGAATCTTCTCTTCTGTTATAAGACAAAAATTCAGAAAAAGTTAACGTATATCCAGTTAATAAACACTGAACTTTAAAACATTTGTCAAGTAATTTTCATCAGATGACACAGGCTTTTGTGACTTACAGAGAGAACTCCATGCAGGGGTGTGTCTTTCCTAAGCACTGACCTACTGAGTGTGCAGACAGCCCTCTCTGGCTAACCTACATATTCACCAGGTGCAGGCTGAGTGAGAGTCCTCTATCTCATCACGACTCGACACTGTGGAGGGTCTCAGCTGAGAGCCTGATGTTCCCTGTGCACTTATTAATTAGACCAGAAGGAGTGAACATCTACTCAGACTCCAAAAATATTTTCTCACAAAATTCTGACTCATGGACTTTTTATTGACTCATTTTGATTAATACTAATCTGCTAATCTGTAAAGAAAACTCCTCATTACAGTCAGATCTGTGACATAACATGTAGGTAAGCACATTCTGTGCTTTAGCACCAACAGAAACAAAGGGCATCCACTAAACTTGGCCCAGGATACTGCCTTAAATTAAAAATAAGGGTGGCCCTTAACAGAAGGCTTCAATAGTGTATGCTGCACAATGACCTTGACAAGGAGAGGAACAGGGTTTAGAGTTCCTGAGTTCCTGCAGAGCACTTAGGAACCTGACTGAAAACGCCTGGCAAGTTGGTCTACCCAAAAAACTGGAGTGAAGCCTGAGAAGATACCGTGGATTACAGGCCTCCTCTGGAGCAGGAATTTCCCATGTGGCCACTAAGGACTTCACTGAAGCCTCTTGCAGAGCTGAGGGTGATGAGGAATACTGGCTTGGTGACATAGTCCACACTGAGAAGGACCCTGCAGGGCTCTGGCTGCCCAGCATGCTCACCTTGCTCGCTCTGTAGGTCTTTCAGTCTGCAGCAGAGCTCCTCTACTAAAGTCTCGATCCCAGAGCTCTGTGTGAGACAGAAGACGGTCAGCTTACCACCAGGTGCAGGAGACAGGCACCTTGTTACTACTGAAGACCACAAGTCGTCCAGGTTCCAAAAGGAATACATTTCCAATTCTTAAATAAATCCCAGAGTTTAAAAAACAGTCAAAGCCAGGTAGTGGTGGCACTTGCCTTTAATCCCAGCACTTGGGAGGCAGAGGCAGGTGGATTTCTGAGTTCGAGGCCAGCCTGGTCTACAGAGTGAGTTCCAGGACAGCCAGGGCTACACAGAGAAACCCTGTCTCGAACGACCGAAAGAAAGAAAGAAAGAAAGAAAGAAAGAAAGAAAGAAAGAAAGAAAGAAA